GATAACAAAGGGAAAGAAACACCATGTGAGCTCGTAGGAGCACATGTTTATGGGTGGACAGATGTTTTGGATCAACACTGAAAATGCTTGCAAAAGAGGGTACTTATTTTGATGTATTTTACGTGCAATGTATATAGAGACAAGCAGTTCCACATCGGAAAAGAAGTGCTGTCTCATAAGAAACCTTACCTATAGCCTTGAGTGAAATGCAATGAAAAAGGTCTGTAAGCTCTTACGACTTGAATACATGCAAATTTTCCCAGCAGGCAGACAAACATCAACATCAAGATCTGGGTGTGTGTGTGTTGGGGGGGGCGGGGGGCGGGGGCGAGTATTCTATTAATTTTTTTGGGAGGAGTGTCCTGTGTGACCCAAGAACCCTTAGCCTTTACCACTCTATGTTCAGCTGTAATTTTGCCACCCCAGCTATTCTGTAATATGTGTGCAACGAAAGCCAACGAAGAAAGCCTACGCTTTCTGAGATAAGTGCGACCTTGCGTGGTACGAACCCCGCTTGTTTTAACAGCCTTTAAAAATACACCAATAATTACAAGTTCGTCAACATGTTTCATCTCTAGATCACTTAATCCACGAGTTTGACCATAGGTCTCCTTTGATTTTTTTTTTTCTCATGGTGTGTGAATAACACATTATATATAATATGTCGAATTATTCTCGCATTTTGATCGGTTTTTGCTTATGATCTGTAGACCTTTTTCACTTGGGCGGTTTCTTGTCCCATTTCAGACCATGTGATGATACTCTTCACGCCATTCACCTTTTTTTGTTTCTTTACGACATAAAACAGATACATTCCGTGTTGCCGTGCATCTGTTTAGTAAAAGATCACAGAAGACGTCAAAATGTGGTAAGAACATCAGTGACACACTCGGCTATCAACTCGTGAGCCTCGTTTTTGTTCTTTTCTTAACGCCTTTTGAAGTCATCTCTCATCGTTTACTGAACAGACGCACGGCAATATGGAATTCATTTGTTAAATAACAGTAACAAGCAAGCTTCATTTCCCCTTGGACTAGCAAAAATACTTTTTACAAGACTGTATATAAATAGAGTTAGGGGCTTGGCTATATGAAATAACTAGAGAATTAAAAAGGGCAGGCAGGCAAGTCTACAGATATATCGGTTGACAATAGCCCCGTATTAAAATATTAATGGCATTTCTAGATCAGTTGAACAAAACCTTCAAATATAAATGTGCTTACTTCATAAGAAAGAGATGTGCGCTCCGAACATAGTTCTGGTGACAGTTTTAAGATAAGCAGCCGATTATCATAATGCATTATAAATATTGCATTGCATTGCATTTCATGTTATTGCAATTTAGAGCACAGCGATGCTGAAGACAGGCCATCGGCTATCTACGCGGAGTATGAAAATGTGGTAAGATGGACGACGATAACGTTAAGATAAGATTCGTCAGTCGCTGCCAATTAATTAAGACATCATAATCATTACACTTTAGTTGGCGATTTTATACAAACAAGAGAAGATTTAGGGGCCTATTCAATAATGAAAATCAACGCTAATCATGATGGCTAGTTTTCACTAGCGTAAGCATAAGCCTGACAGACGCAGATGCAGTAGCCATTGATAATTAACGTCTTTTGGTAGGAAAATTTCTGATAAAGGTGCTGATTATCAACATCTTACTGCATCTGCGTATGTCGCCTTCTGCTTATGCGCCAGCCTCAGAAAGGAGCTCAGTCACGGTATTTTGAGTTATTTTGGCCACATACAAAATTAACTTTAAATGGTAGGAAACCTGAAAATAACAGTTTAATAAGATAGAAAAATGCCAAAGAGATAATGGTAAACCATAAAGGAAACGAGGATGGCTAAGGATGGAGAAGATAAACACGGATTACAAATGACGAATTTGAAAAATTGAGGCTCAACTTTTCAATGTGCGCCGGGTTGACGGATAGTGTATTTTCATATGATTTAAAATGTGAACAATACAATAAATTACAGAATACATAAGAGAATGTTCACTGATTACACCCGACATCTACATCTACTTTAATACCCTTCAATACTTTACACTATCAGTGATTTGTATTTTGTTAATGTCTACTTTCGGTCGTTGAAATTTTTAGCGTTTATTTTCATTCTTAATGATTACAATCATCAAACAATTTAGCGTGGGCTTTTTCCGCTCTTAGGATAGTTTCAAGATGATCGATATTGTTGCCGTCGCTACAGAAAAAAAGTGGGGAAGGTGGAGGGTGGTGTTCCCTTGCATGGGCTATATAAGTATGGGCGGCCCCAAAGGGTACGGTTTTTTAAGCCATTTTGATCAGAAATAGAGTATGGTTTTTGTACACGATTCTTGAATTGGGTATGTTTTTTGGAAGAAGCTACTCTTTCATCCTCATCGATAAGACCATTATCAAAAGCCCTTCACAATGCCTTCAACATCGGTCTGAAATGGGGAACTAATTATGAGACAGGTCTGAAACAAAGGTATTTTAGTCAGGCCATAAATAAAGTAGTGAATAACTAGGGTAAGGGTTTTTTCGAAGCTCCTGTCCAATTTTTCTGGGAGTACCCCCCCCCCCCACCCTCGGGGGGATCGTTGCAATGAAATGAAACCGCTCTTCAGAAATGGTAGCGATCGTTGCAATGAAAATATGGCAGAGTACGTCGTGGTTTCATCCAGATTCATCTCGAACACATTTTTCTGTAGCGGCTAATTTTCTTGAATTTTTTTACTCACAATAAGTCAAAGATACTCATCATTTGTACAATGTGTGTTGTTTTTTGTGGAAGGCATCGCAGAGGATTCAACAACCACAAGAACTGGATGAAGAGGATCATGAGTTCCCTTCGCAGGACACTATTTCAGGTATTGTTAACAGCTAGTTTTGTTTTGCTTCTATGGTACGTACCAGTTATTTTAATTTATTACCCTTGCTGCTTGGATTTTGAAAGTGAAAATCATTATTGCATATACAGCGGTAGATGGAAATAAAATTTTGGTGGAGTTCTTATTTTTCACCGTTGTGGAACTACTACAATTTCAAGGCTGACTGAAATTTATTATAATGTTATCACGGGCCTAAGCTTTTGCTCACTGTGTCTGAATAACACAATGATTCACAAAAGCCCCAAAATAATGTATTGATGGTATTTCTTAGATCAGTTTGAACAATTCCTTTCGATATACGTGGTTACGCAGTAGGAAGAGAAGTGCGCTCTGAACATGGTTCTGGTGACAGTTTTAAGATAAACAACCGATTATCACACTGTATTATAATTATTACATGTACACTGCATTTCATTTCACGTGTTTGCAATCTATTTAGAGGACACCAATGTTGTAAACAGGCCATCGGCGATCCACGAGGAATGTGAAGCGGATACGGTATGATAGACGACAGTAATATTAACATAAGATTTATCAAGAGAAAGTCATTTTCTCTTGGATTTATCAAAAGTTACCAGCTAATCAAGGCAAAATAATTTAATATACAATTTAATGGATGACTTACGAACAAGAGAAGATTTAGAAAAACATTTTAAAGAAAATCAGCGCTAAAAAAAGGCAACTTTCGACGACCTGGTGTTTGTTTTAACTACTTCCATTTTTTTTGTGGAAGAAGACACAAGGGATGTGCATGGACTTTCCATTTTCCGAAGGTTTTTCTTCCTGTTCCTTCTTTATTAGTTTCCACCTCGATCCACGTGCTTTAAAATTTTCTTTTGCACAATATTAGGCAATGTTGCTTTTTCTCCCAGTTCCCCCGCCATGCGATGCCAGTGAAAAAGAAACAGAAACGGCAAATGACCTTTCAAAGCTTCTAAAATTCAGTCCTCCTGGCTGAGTCGCAAACTGAAAGCGTCAGTACGAAGTAAAGTCTCGGCCTTTTTCAAATGCTTCCATTGTCGTTCTTTAAAAACAATATATACGAAAAGTAATTTTGGTCTGAGACTATGATAAATGATTATCACACTTCATTTTGATGAACTTGTTACAGTTACTGTTAAGAAATTAAACTTTTCCTCATAAAAATGTCAGCTTTACTCTTTATATTGATACTGAGATGTGTCCGTGGCGTTTTTCTGAGAGCCCACTTTTTACGGACACCTGGATAATACGGACACTATGGCATAACTACATGTATATCCTTGGTGTCCGTATTAACCGGGTTCCACTGTACCACATACTGCCACAGGTATCCCAAGTTCCTTGGGAGCCATGAACATTATTATATGACATTCCGTAAAAGCGTAAATATAAGAGTTTGTATGGGAATGTAACGATCGTATGTAAAAGGTCCAAAAATGGAAAAGAAATTGAATTAAAACGAGTTACTTCGACTCTTCTGTCTGTTACTTTTGTCTCTTTTGTCTTGCCGTTTTGGGGCCATTTCAACGCGATTTCAGCGAGTTTTAACTAAACCTTAACCCTGCGTTCTTTTCTAAATTTGAAGTTTATAGTGTCTGAAACTTACAGTAATGAATACCTAAAACTAACACTAATGAATATTTCTTTTAATTTTTTGCTGACAGCTATCACCAAGAACCTCCTTTAGCAACTTGAAGGAATTTGTCCTTAGCAGGAGCTGTGAGGAGGATGATATAATCACATACTTATCTCAGGTGGCGTCTGATTTACACCACCTTCACGTCAACCACATTGTACATGGGGACCTCCGCCCAGAACATGTGTACTTAGCTGAACAAGACAAGGTGCAGTAGAAACAAATCAGTATTACTTAAAATCGATTAAAACAATATTCAACTGTACTGTTCTTAGGTGTCCGATAGCTGCAGTTCATCTGTACTATTTTGCAATGTAAAGGTTTGCAAAAAGACCTAGGTAAAAGTTTTCATTTATTAGATTACAATGGTAGATGTGTAATCCATATGCAATGGAAATGATCTGTGATTTTGATTTTGATTATTGTGAATGAATGGACAGTCAAGTGTTGCATTACGCGCGCGAACATTAAAGTACCCGGATGATAGAAGGATTTAAGAAGACTTATGACTAATTAGTCTAAAAAGTTTACATTAGCTGAAATCGTGTTATGTTATTACATGTATGTACTTAATTGCAAGCTAATTATTAGTTTCCTGTTTGACTTACATGAATAGAAATATATATAGAATGTTTAGAATTTGGTATTCGAATACTCGACAACCCCAGATCAGAGAGACAATTCTACTCGAATGACAATTTGCTCGAAAGTTATGGTTCGTTCCACGTCTTGGAAGCCAAAATGGAGAATTCACTCTTTTCATTTGTTCTGTCCAGGTCCAGGTTGGCCGTCTGGGTCGCTCTAGGAATCTTTATATGAGCGCTGATGAAGATACCAGTACTTCATGTGTGGTAAAGGCTACCATGCCACCTGATTCTACTCGTTGGTGAGTAATTTAGAGCCCTACTTACTACTACATATTCGAGAGTGTCGCTAGTTGTACAGTAAGTAGAGGTATAAGAATTAAGGTGCTGGTTGATATATTATGCTCTTCTAATTGGTTGTGAAAGTGAACGGTTAAAGTTAAATGCACTACCCCAAAGCCATAAATGAATTTGTTGCTGAAAAATCGCCGCACCACAATGTTTACAGAGATCAGGGTGCTGTACTCCGTCTCATTCAAGGCTAATCGTTTGTTTCTTCGCCACACTGGTGACCATATGATTTTGGAACCAGGACAGGCACGTTTTAAATAAACAAACCTGGGTAATCAAGTGTTAGCATTTGTTCCCTCAGCTAGCTAAGGGATTTTAAAAACTTAATAAACTGCCAGAGAAATGATCTACCCTCGCGCTAAGAGACCTAATAATAGGTCTTTTTTTATAGGAGTGCACCAGAGGTGATCTTAGATGGGCATTACACATATGCCAGTGATGTGTGGGCATTTGGAATTCTTGCTTGGGAATTGTACGCATCTTTCACAACAGGACACGATAAGAGAGATTTAACGGTACCCTTCTATGGTCTTGAAAACCGTGAGGTAAATTCGAGGACTGCACTCAGTGCACTCCGATCTTTTTTCTTTTCTTTTTTGTAAAAAAACAAAGTCTGAATTAATAACCATCAGTTACTTCTTAGCTCCCCAGTGGAACTGCTTTCGATTGCCGCTTTTATTATAAGAGAAGACTTTCTCTAGGATCGTTCAACAATGGGTTGAATTAAAATGATAGGCCGCACTAAGACACAAAACCAAGACGTAAATATCAAAAATGTAATTGATCAAAAAGGAAGATATCTCACCTGTACAAAGAGGGTATACGTACGGAATGCCAACAGGCTGCATTTGCTTATAATCACAGTTTTGTAGTGCACATCTTTCTTGAATGACTTGCGTGAAACTAAATGGAAGATCTATATTTCAGATTCTGTCTCATATAAGAAACCATATACCGTTGAGCAAACCAGAGAGCTGTCCTCTTTGGGTGTATATCATAATGCATCAATGCTGGGCATATGACCCAGTACAGAGGCCACCCGCCCTCACCATTTTGGAGTGTCTTAAGAGCAGGTACTTTTTAATGATTTGTTTGGACAAAATTTGTAGCTTTTTTTTTCCATAAAATTCAAGTTTGAACGCATATACAAAGTTTAAAGGGACCGAAGACGTCTCTGTTATAGACAACTGGCATGGAATCGAAACGGTTACGGAAAATTAAAGTGCCATTTTCTTAGAGCGTATTGAGCATTTACTCTAAGATCATTAAGATCATTTAATAATTTTGTCAGCCAAAAATCCCATGCAAGCTAGCGTACACGATGATTTGTTGATTCTGCAAACCGTCCGCATTAGTTCTTAACATAATTTGGATGGTGTCAAAATTAACTACCAATTTGGACAACAAGTCCTATTCCAATGTGGAAGTAACTGTTTTAAAAATTCCCCTGACTGACAAATGCCGCGTCTAGTTTTGGCAGTCGTCGGAAATCTTCAGTTTCATCAATAAGATATTTCCAAATTGGATCGCATGTAGTCCTATTCGCATGTAGTCCAAATGTAACACTAGTACCACCACTCTTTCGTTCTTTAAGGAAGCCATTGGAGTCCTGGACGATGACATTCTGGACAAATCACAGCAAAAGCGAAAGACCAGACTCTTGTGTCAGACGAAGCCAGGATGCCTGTCTTGTAACAGATACAAAGAAACAACCTTCCAAGGATGAGAACTATGAGGTAGACAATCGAGAACTTGGAGATTAGTTTGGAGGGCAAAGCTGCCGACAGTAGCTGACAATAGTCGTAATCACGTTGGAAACAGATCACATACTTGCAGTAACGAACTAAGAAGCAAAGGAAAGGCCAGACGGAATCTTACGAATCCAGCTATTTATTTTGTTTTGCAATGTCACAAAGGGGTCCTTCTCCAGGCTGGAGGTATACGCAGGGATAAGGTTTTCATGGCTGAAGTATAGGAAAGGTTAGGAAAAACTGTTATTGAAAGGGCCTCTCACAAATCTCGTCCAGACATACAAGGGAAATAAGGGTTGTGGAGGGGGGGAGGGGAGTGGCAATTAACGATTTGGGGATTTTCGAGAGTATAAATTTACTGAGGAACCTTTTTAGGATAGAAAGATTTCAGTAGGACTTTTTGAGGATCGGCTAAAGTGTACTCCAGATATGTGACAGGCCGTGAAAGGGACACTAATTTCAACGGTAATAATAATAGTATCAAACAAATACCCAATCATTGGTAAATAATAAAGTTATAGTTATTTTATTAAGGGCACCATAGCAACAGTGTAGCCCGTTAGATACACCGTTAATTTTAGCCTGAGCTTTTTTAATGTATTCTATTCAAAGTTTAGGTAGTGGTTATCTTTATTTATAAACGGTGTCAATTCATGTTAACATGCTCTTCCATCGAGCCATGTTTTCTTAACTAATTAAATTATCTAACTAGATTAAATATCTATACCGTAATTATATTAAAAGCTATTTTAAAAAATCTCTATTTTATTAGCTATCGTTAAATTTAATCTACATAAGAGTGGGCTGTATCTTAGCGCTCAAAGGTATGCCGTTCCACAGAACACAACCGCGATATTGAAAACTTCGTTGCCTCCTTCAGTATTCGCTCTAGGTACGAAAAAGTTGTAATTTAGGTGAGTGAACACCGGATGTAAACTGGTAAAACCCAAAAACGTGTCAGTCTAATGACACATGTATAGAAGTCATGTTATGTAATGTAATTCTGCTTGCTTCTGGCGCATTGGCTTATGTTAGCGTGTCGGACTTTGAAATCATTGAAAGTAGTACTTAACTTTGTAGTTAACTACGAATGAAAACTGTTTGGCTTGCGGCGTATCAGTTTGATAGTTTTCTATTTTACCTTTGGTTGTTCTATATGATCTGTAATATCTTTATTACAATAAAAGTTGTTTTCGAGCTGTGTAAAGTAAAGCTTTTAATAGTCTAAGAGGTGATCATAAATTACGTGGCTGGAGGAGCCCTAGTGTAGATTAAAGTTTGGTGCGCTGAACGAATTGATAAACCTAAGTTCGAACGAATGAAAGATGCGAATGCAGCCATAACATTACTGGAAAAATGACCTGAAAAAATTTCTGAACGGGATTCGAACCCACGACCTTTGTGTTACCGGTGCAATGCAAATTTTTTCAGGTCATTTTTCCAGTAGTGTTGTGGCTGCATTCGCATCTTTCATTCTTTCATTTAATTGCTACTGTTGGACATCTATTACCACTAAGTTCGAACCCAGCCAGGAATCATTGTGCTGTGATCTTGGGCAAGGCACCTTTCTCTAAAATTGCTTCTCGCAATCCAGGTGCGGTTAATAGGTACGGGCAAATTAAATGCTGGGGTAACCCTGCAATGCACTAGCTTCCCTTTCAAGATTTAAGAGAAATATTCCTAGCTGCTTCATGCGACGGAAACTGGAGATGGACGAGATAAATACCAGTCTCGTGTACCAAAAAGTTTGAACCCAGGCTTTCAATAAACCCCGCTTCCCTATATAACTGGATTCCACTCCGCTTTCCACGGACTTTTAAAAACGCCCTCAGGCTCCAGAGAGAGTATTCATCGCTTGTCCACGTTTGAGATTTTGGAAGCTTATTTTCGGAGGGTGGGAGGGGGATAGGGAGATGAAGTGGTTATTCAGGGATTTTGACGCTTCAGCAGTGTGACAAAGTGGCCCAGGTCAAAGGTTATATTTTAGATATTAGGTAATCCACGGTGCTTGTAGGTAATGCGTCTCTACATCTATGAGGGGCTGAGGCTGGTTAATATTCGCTGATGGTAGACGCTGGGACATTCAAAATAATCTTAATAAATCCCAGCTTCCTAATCTCAGGAAATTAATCACCTAAGAAGTGCAGCCCCATCCTCCCTTCCCTCCCTAGTTTTCATGTATGTCTCTAAAGTGACGCAGTTATGTAACTGGCAAGCAGCCCATCAACAAATTGGACAATTCCGTGTTGCAGTGTAATTGAGACACTGTAGTTATTGACCCAAATCGAGTTTGAGTCATTATTACAGGACCATTAATCTGCAGTAAAAGAACTTATATATGATCACATGGGAAAATATGTCTCTAATCATTTGGTGGTAACTATAAATAATCTTAGCGAAGAACGGTGTCAACTGGCTTCAAATGTAAGAGGCGCAAAACCTTTTACCATACTTGCGTGACTATCCATAGTAGACAATACGTCAAATTACCAAATATTCCGTAACACGTCAGGAGATTCCCGGAATTAATAACAGCGCTACAATAGCACTGAAGAGCAAATAGCCCTTAACAGTCACGGCAGGCAGACACTAGGAGTAAAATTCCTGTGCGTTTGTAACAATGTGGAGACGAAGCTAGTGCCTCTGTCTTAGCGATTATGTCTTCAGAAGAGGGTAAGTGAAATAGCTTTCAAATCAAGTAATTATCTTACGGTACTTGATAACGATGCTATACAGAATGGTTTAGATAAGGCTGGTCACCTTGAGACTACAGTTTACGAGATAACGAACTAAATTTTAAATTAAAAGAGCACTTGATACCAAAGTAGAGCTCTTGGCCGGATTTGTGCCGCAATACAGCAGCGATACACATTCACTAGCCGTAGCATTCCGATGGACTGAAAACGCCATTGAGTGTGTTCATTATCGAGTTCATTTGCATGTCTGCGAGGTATAGCAAGAGAGTACAAAGGAAACCATGCAGAACTCACGCATGCTAGGCTTCTAAACTTTTTTATCTGTGCATGTCGGTTCAGGTTTCAGCTCTCCTCAGTTTCGTTTCCAAACAATCATCATATTGGACACACTGTTAAAAGCCAGATATGAACCTTCACGCTTCGTAGGCCTGATATGAGCTTTTTGAGATTGCGGAACTATCGTGAAACTATTGAGATCGTGAAACTAGAACCTGTAATTTTAAACTGTGCTCAGCTAGTTGTACTACTGTACTACTGCATGTATTGACAGGAAAGTCATCGGAATACAAAATTTCACACCTACTGACCAATAAAATGGCAAGCGGTAAACAAGTAACAAATTACGTCGAATTTGTAATCTTGGTTGGTTAAACACGTTCCACACAATGATTGAGACATTACGGTTCTGTCTGCCGAGTCTACCACATGTGTTTATCATTGGGTTGGGTCTGGTTTACAAAAACTGTTTCTGATAGCAGCTGATTAGCCTCCTGAATGAAACCAAAGAAAAATTTACTCAGCTCAATCCGTAAGCTTCCGTGTGTCGACCTTAAACTGTCACGTCATTGGCAAGCTGCCCATAGTCAGTGCCCCAGCCTTCTGCAAGCGCAGCAGTCGAATTCGCGTTCTTTTCAGTCTATGGAAGACCCTAGTACCCCTAACTTAAAGAAGATGTTTTCAGACGGTAGTAAGAATGGTTTTTCAATCAATTAGCTCTTACAGCTGTAAGAGGTGCAAAACCTTTTTATTCTACTTTATACGTGACGTCTCATAATAGACACTACCTCATCTCCCAAATATTCCGTAACTCGTCACGAGGTTTCCCCGCAATTAATTACCCAGAAGTAGTCTTTTGCAAGCACTGCCTGTCTGCAGAGGTGTCCAACTCCCGTTCCCCCTGTCCATCTGTGTCTTATGTTGAACGATGCTCGTTCCTCTTTCTTAGCGATTATGTCTTCTGAAGACGGTAAGTAAAATAGCTTTCAAATCAAGTAATCAGCCAACGCTTCTTGATAACGATGCTATGCCAAATGGTTTAGATAAAGCTGGTCACCATGGGACTATACGCTCTGCGAGATTTGCGAGATGAAGAACTAACTTTCAAATTAAAAGGGCACTTGATACCAAAGTAGAGCTCTTGGTCGGATTCGCGCCGCAATACAGCCGCGATACACCTTCTGTAGCCATAGCATTCCGATAGATTCAAAGCGCCATTGAGTGTGTTCATTATATCGAGTTCATTTGCATGTCTGCGAGTTATAGCAAGAAACATGCAGCTTTGCTGCTAAAAAGGAAACCATGCAGACCCACGCAAGCTAGGCTACGCTACTTTTAGGCATATCGATCAGTATCTTAGCTACTTTTAGGTATAATGATTCGCTGTCTGGTTTCAGCTCTCCTCAGTTTCGTTTCCAAACAAACATCATATTGGACACACTTCTCAAGGCCAGACATGTATGAACTTCATGCTTTGTAGGTTTACTGCGAGATGGCGAAACTATCGTAAAACTATCGAGATCGTGAAACTAGAACCCATAATGTTTAACTGCGCTTAGCTAGTTGAACTACTGTAGTATTGACAGTTCCTGAGGTACGTTGCCGGAATAAAAAGAAACACCTATATTGTCACACCTGAATGTACCGTGACCAAGAAAATAGCATGCAATAAACAATTTACAAATCAAATTGATTTTGTAATCTTGGTTGTTTGAGCACGTTTCAGATTAAAGACTGAAATAAACGCCTTTGTTCGAGGCACTTGCATATGCTTATTTAATCCTACTTAACTGTTTTCTAGTGTGATTTAAAACAACAAACGGGAAAAAGCCCGGGGTCATCTTAAGACTTCCGTTCTTTCATTCCGTGACCCATCATTGACGTCATTTGTAGTCCAAGTTTGAGTAAGCTTCAAACGGTTAAGCGAGTCTGTTTATTTTCACTGGCGGCGATGAACATTTGAAACAAATGAACTAAAAACACGAGTCAGTATTCGAAAAACAATGTACAATTTTCATGAGGTTATCATAGGAGTGAAGCTAAATGACTTTCAGACGTCTTCATTAGCAAACTAGGGGGCAAACTACAATAATCATCGTCTTTCTTTGCAATTCTTTCTTCGTCTTTGCCTTGAAACATCATTTTGGTTTGATCACTTTGAAAATAGTTCAATCTGTGTCTGTCCCTTTCTCCTCCAGTCTACTAGTGTACAGTTATTCGAGGATAAGAGTTGCCTTGTGTGGTGTGACAATATATTGCGGAAGATAATATTTTTACTTCCGTGATCCGCCGACTGGCAAACAGATGCAACCCCCGGGGGAGGGAACTCCAATATGAAAAGTCTCGGGATGCTCGTCGAAAAAATTGAATTATAGAATCTAGAGACCAGCAGAAATCGAGCTTAAAGACCGAAAGAAGAGGGTTTTTTATTATTATTTCCACGAGTGCAGCCTAAAAGATACTTTGACAGCTAAAAATAGTGGCGTTTCGTAATGAACACACTAAATGAGGCCAGAATCCTTGATTTACACCCCTGAGCGAGACGACGAGTGTCTCCAACCTTTTTATATGGGAGTCCCCCACCTCGGGTGCAACCAAACCAAGCGTTTCAGAACGACGCCAAAATATGGTACAACTGGAAAGCTTTAGGCAAAATAGGCGCACAGATAATTAGTCACACCTTTCGTATTTTCGCTGAGTTATTTCGTTAGTTTCTAAGAAAAATTGTCTTCCAAGTAATGCGGAATCTCGACGCTGTCTTGCCATAGTTCGGACCGGTTTCCAAATATTCTCGCGCCAGATCCCTCACCGCGTANCAATTTTCATGAGGTTATCATAGGAGTGAAGCTAAATGACTTTCAGACGTCTTCATTAGCAAACTAGGGGGCAAACTACAATAATCATCGTCTTTCTTTGCAATTCTTTCTTCGTCTTTGCCTTGAAACATCATTTTGGTTTGATCACTTTGAAAATAGTTCAATCTGTGTCTGTCCCTTTCTCCTCCAGTCTACTAGTGTACAGTTATTCGAGGATAAGAGTTGCCTTTTGTGGTCTGACAATATATTGCGGAAGATAATATTTTTACTTCCGTGATCTGCCGACTGGCAAACAGATGCAACCCCCGGGGGAGGGAACTCCAATATGAAAAGTCTGGGAATGCTCGTCGAAAAAATTGAATTAGAGAATCTAGAGACCAGCAGAAATCGAGCTTAAAGACCGAAAGAAGAGGGGTTTT